AGGGAGGCCCGACACAAGGCTGTGTTGGAGTGAGGGCTCTGCGCTGCCCTGCTATCAGCAGCGCCCGGTGCAGCCCCCCCGCCACTCTATCTCCCCACTTGCTCCGCTTCCTTCCCGGGTGTGCTCCGAGCTCACCCAGGCTGAACAAACCCACTGCGGTTGCCCAATGTCCTGCCCAGTGTGGAAAATGGGGGAGGATTTCCTAATGGCAGCATGGGTGAGGTGTGTGCTGCTGCCTGCACACCCCTGGGGCCATCTGGGGTCTTGCCACCCACTGGTCATCCGTATCCCATCTTGCTACCCCAGCCCTGCTGGAGATGGGGTTAAAGATCCTGCTTTGGGTGTTGGTGCCGACTACGTGGCTCAGGGGTGCAGGAGGCAGGAGTGGGCAGCTTGAAATATCACAGAATCCCAGACTGGTTTGGTTTGGGAGGGACCTTAAAGCTCATCCAGTTCCAACCCCCTACCACGGGCAGGGACACCTTCCACAAGAGCAGGTTGCTCCAAGCCCCTGTGTCCAACCTGGCTTTGAACACTGCCAGGGATGGGGCAGCCACAGCTTCTCTGGGCACCCTGTGCCAGCGCCTCAGCACCCTCACAGGGAAGACCTTCTGCCTCAGAGCTCATCTCAGTCTCCCCTCTGGCAGGTTAAAGCCATTCCCCTTGTCCTGTCCCTTCAGGCCCTTGTCCAAAGCCTGCCTCCAGTTTTCTTGTAGCCCCTTTAGGCACTGGAGCTGCTCTAATGTCTCCCGTTCAGGAGCCTTGTCTTCTCCAGGCTGAACCAGCCCATCTCTCTCAGCCTGGCTCCAGCCAGTGGCACTGCTGGACACTGACTCAGTAGGGCTGGGCTGCAGCAGAGGAGCCCTGGCAGGGTGCCAGTCCCCCCAGAGAACACTGCTGTCCCCCTCAGATGGAGAGGGCCAGCCCCTGTCTCCCCTTAGGAACAGATCCAATGGGGATGCCAGTGCTCATGGCAGGGCTGACTGTGGCTGGTGGCATCAACCACGTGGCCATGGCTGTGCCAGGGGTCTTCTGCTCAGGTGTGAGCCCACAGGGTGCTTGATGCTCAGAGCCCTTGGACCAATTGACTTTCTCATCCAGGGCTCTTAATAACCAGGAGCCGCTTTCAAGGATGCTCCAGCCTTGAGAGAGGTTTTCAACATGAATTATTCATGGACAGCCATTAGGGTCTAATGGACTCTTGGGTGTGAGTGTCAGTGGTGGCTCTGGGGGTGCTTTGGAAGCTCCATGGCATTGCTGGCCCCTTTCTTGCTCCCCTATGGAGATGAAGAGGGAAGAGCAGGGGCTCGTGGTGCCTCCATTAAGGGTGATGGGTGCTCCTGGCCCCGCACCCTCAGGTGGCTCAAAGCCACTTTTCCCTCCCAGCTTAATTGCACCAGCCCGATGCACTTGTGTTCCAGGGCCAGTAATGCTGCCTCCTCCCACACCAGTGTGCTCAAGGGAGAGTGATCCCCATCCTTCGAGTGTCTGCGCATCCCACCACGGCTGCTCTGCAGGCTTGTCTCCAGTGTCTGGTACAATGGTTGTGCTTGGTTGTCCCCAGGTCACCATGTGGCCTTGCTGATGGTCCCTTTGTGTTGCTCAGAGCATCCCAGTGTGTCCCGTGGTGACACCTTGTGCGAGCTGCATCACTTTTTCCATCGCTTTCTTCCTTGGGCGTGTTTCCTTGGGTCAGCGTCTGTCGTCATTCACCCCGGGGCCGGGAGCCAGCCCTGGTCACCCTCCATGTGCTTTGCCTGGTTGAGGGCCAAAGCCTTGCCCCAGTTGCTCACCAGGCTCTTTTGGGGGGGATAGGGGCTTCACCCGTGTGCTGTTGTATGCATTGCTGCTGGACGTCAGGCTCTGGTGAGCTGCAGTGGATGAGAGCTGTGAGAGGGAAGGTGGTGATGGTGGGGGAGCTCTTACTGACCAGCCCAGGTTACCCCCCTCCATCCACTGCCCATTTATTCCCCCTCCATGGGTGATGGCAGCATTCCCACTGCATTTCTCTCTCCCTGGAGATCTTTTCCAGCCTGACGTGACATTGTGGACCCTTCTTCCAGCTGAAAGCACAGCTCCAAAAGCTCAGGACATGCTTTTGGGTGCTGAGTCCCACACCTACCGTCTCCCCCGCTGCTGTCACCCACCTTGTCCCCACAGCAGGGTGTTCATGGAGCCACTCCCCCCGCTGCCAGCTCAGCACATTACCTCTCGCTTCTCTTTCCTGTCTCCAGGGCAGAGCCACTGCCACGCCAAGCTCCTTGGGGACCAGCAGCCACCAGCACTGAGGGACAGTGGGGCAGAGCAATGCTTCTGGTGGGATGCTTTCCATCCCAGGGCTGGGGGGTGATGGGGACAAGGGGGTGCTGAGCTGGTGACAGGTTTGATATGGATGGAGGCACTGGCTGGCCTGTTCTCATGCTGGGTGAGAGTGGTGCCAGCACTGGAGGGGCTGAGTGCCAGCATCAAACACGTGGGGAGCTGGAAAGCACCTTCCCAGCACCATCCCCAAGGGATTTCTCTGTCTAGCACTGGGTAAAACTTCTAATGGGTCAGGATCTGTGCTTGGGGGGAGGCGGCTGTCCCCAACCCATGTGGCCAAGATGACTTCAGCCCCTGGGGGCTGCTCCCCTCCTCCCTGCTCTCTCTCAGTGCCAAATCCTGTGTTAATGCACATGGAAGCAGCTCCGGCTCTGCCGCGTGACCAGGATGGCAGGTGCCGACGGGATGTGCCAGATCCCTCGGGAACTGCGTCACCTCGGCGGAGGCCCCGTGCTGCACCCAGAGCTGGTGGGGATGAGACCGGGGTTTAAACCAGCTTTGGCCAGGAAGCCAAGGGCTGCCTGGGGTGTGATGAGAGCAGTTGGGGGTGGGATTTTGGGATACAGATGTGGGAGCACCATGTCCTCTCGCACCTCTAAACAAGAGTTTGGTTCCAGTTCCTGTGGTGTGCTGGCTCCCACCCTGAGAGCCATTCCTCAGTGTGGATGAGGGTGTCCCGGAGCTCCCTCTGAGTCCAACATGTTCCCATTCCCGGCTCTCTGGAGCAGCTGGCACTTTGAGCTCACTCCCTGGGAGGAAAACAAACAGCGTCTCCAGCTTACCAGTGGGACGGAAAGTTTTGCTTGTGGGGCTGGCGTTCTCCCAGCTCAGAGCTGTGGAACACCTCAGCGAGGCACCAGCATTCCATGCCAGCTCTGCACGACTCTCCTGCTTCCCAAGAGCCGTGTCTGGGAAGCAGCGGTGGGTGAAAGCTCCCCACCAGCCCCATGCAGTTCCCCTGTCACAGAGCAAGGTGCATCACTGCAAGTGGTGGCTTCCCCTCCTCCTGCTGCCCTGTGCCAGGGGATGGTCCATGTTCCTGGTGCCCATCCCTAGAGCCCAGGGAGTGCTGAGCTCAGCTCTCCCTCCACCCCACTGCTCCTGCAGCCCTCTCCTGTGTTCCCATGCATGGGATCTCATTGCAGCCTCTCTCCCTACCAGGTGAGGCAGGAGGAGCTTGGGTCTACCACGGGTCTCCCGTGCGTGAAGGACAGAGGAGGAGGAAGAGGAAGGCGGCCGCAGGTGTTTGCCATTGAGACGTGCTTCATGGAATCCCCATCACTCTTATGAGGTAGAGAGACCCTGGTGTGGGGACCAGAGCTGGGTCTGAGCCCCCGGGGGGAATGTGGGAGCTGGGTGCTCCCAGCTTTGGCGCTTAATGGCAGCAAGGGGGGGGGGATTTTTTTCAAGGGTCCTGCTTTGGTGCCTCTGGGAAGGAGGGGAGGCAGGCAAGCCCTGCTCCAGGTTCCTTGTAGCCCCTTTGGGCACTGGAGCTGCTCTAAGGTCTCCTCTTAAGGAGCCTTCTCTTCTCCAGACTGACAAAGCCCAGCTCTCCCATCCTGTGTGGCACTGCCAGACTCTGAGCTTGACTCAGTGGTACTGGGCTGCAGCAGAAGAGCCCAGCAGGATACCTGTCCCCCAGGGGTGTCCCCCTTGGATGGAGAGGGCCATCTCCTGTCTCCCCTTAGAAGCAGGTCCCATGGGGATGCTGGTGCTTGTGGCACCATCCCTGTTGCCATGGCTGTACCTGGAGGGGGACAGGGAATGCTCATAAGGCCTGTGCAAGTCCCCTGGGTGCCGGCACGTGGCTGGGGGGACAGGAAGAGCCCAGAGTGGTCATGCCTCCCTAATAGCACCTAATAGGATCTGGAACTCTCTCCCTCATGCTCGCATGGAGTTACATTTCCTGTGACGTCCTGCCAAGCGGAGCTGGGCTGCAGGGACCCTTGGGATGGGATTGCTTGAGGAATTAACCACCTCTTGGCTATTAAGCTGCTTCTTCCTGGCATGTGGTGCCAGGGAGGATTCAATCTCTCAGCCTGACCTGTGTGTGCATGTGCAGAGGCAATGTCCTGCATATCCTCTCCCATGGGGCACCCAACACATGGCAGGTCCTGGCTCCATAGCTGGAGGTGGCACGGGCTGCCCCAGCCCCTCGCTGCGGCAGGAGCCATCCATGACACGGGGCCTGTGGTACAAGTTGGGATGTGAATTGGGTGTTTTCAGGCTTTTGCTTTTCCTCCCTCACTGTGGCAAACCAGGAGGGCCAGCATCCCTGTGTGTGAGAGCTGCAGCCACGTGCCATGGGCTTGCAGGGAACCCTCCATGGGTCCTATGCGGTGGGATGTCAAACTCGGGTGTCCCACAGGCACGTGCTGGGTGTTGGGGTGCTCTGACCCATCCCTCCTGCCATCCCTCCCTCTGCTCCTGGCAGGTGAAGGGGTGTTGCTGGTGGTCCCGATGGAAGCCCTCCTGCCCACCCAGACCCAGGGAGGGCATGTGGATTTTGAGAGCACAGCAGCTGGGCTGATGGTGGCAAGATCTCAGCAGCACAGGGGCTGAGGCTGGTGGGATCCCACTGGTGAGGCCCCATCTCCTGCTGGGACCCAATGGAGATGCTTCTTCCCCTCTTATTGATTCCATACACCCCCCAGCCTGCCAAGTGCCGCTGGCCCAAGATGTCAGCCGGGGACAAGAACGGGGGCAGCCGCTCCAGCAGCAGCCGCTTGCAGAGCAAGAAGCCCCCCAACCTCTCCATCATCATCCCCCCCCGTGAGGCAGAGGAGGATGGTGCCTGCAAGGAGGTGAGAGATGGGGACCTGCATCCATCCCATGCTGGGCTTGAGGGGCTGCTGTCCCTGGGGGTCCCCTTTATGCCATCCTATCCGTAACGCCCTGTTCTGCCTTCCAGCCCTCCAAGGTCCCCATCTATAGAAAGAGCAAGAGTCTGCAGGAGCCCCGCTCGAAGGGATGCGATGGCTTGGAGCACCGGCCTGGCTTCCGGCGGCAGACTTCCCTATCTCAGAGCATCCGAAAGTGAGGGTTGGGAAGGGTTCTGGCAGCTACTGGGTCACCGGAGGGGTCTCTTAGTGTCTGTCTGGGTGCTGTGACTGCGGGTACCAGCTTGGGATGGGGGTAGAGAGTCATGTCTCCAAAGAGAACGTCTTTGAGGGTTTCGTGCAGCTCTGCTTTGATTTACTGGTGTCTGCCTGGGGACAATCCTGCAGTTAAGTTTAGTGTTGTTTAGTGTTCATCCACACTGTTCATCTGTACATTGGGGACATTTATCAGCCTCGTTTATGTAGGACTTTCACAAGCACCTTGAGCTGGATGCCTGCTGCAGCCCAAAGCTGATGCACTGCCATAGAATCATAGAATCCCAGACTGGTTTGTGTTGGAAGGGGACTTAAAG